CCGAGCACGCGGCTATGGGGGGGGCCACCCCCGGGCGTGCATGTGTTCCCACCCTCTGGCGCCCAGCAGGTGAATGGCCACGCCCCCTGGTGCCCGGCAGCCTCTAAAGGTTGGGGACCACTGGTGTAGACAACACTTCAGCAGAGTCCTATGCCAACTGAATTAGCAAATGGTATTACCAACCCAAGTGTTCAAAAATCATGAGCACGCGGCTATGGGGGGGGCCACCCCCGGGCGTGCATGTGTTCCCACCCTCTGGCGCCCAGCAGGTGAATGGCCACGCCCCCTGGTGCCCGGCAGCCTCTAAAGGTTGGGGACCACTGGTGTAGACAACACTTCAGCAGAGTCCTATGCCAACTGAATTAGCAAATGGTATTACCAACCCAAGTGTTCAAAAATCATAAGTCAGATCAGTGGGCCAAAGAGCCAAAACAAATTTAGACAGTAAAAAATAAGATTTTAAAAATCAACTTTGGTCACATAAGTCACCCTGATACTTACTCTTCTGTTTTATGAAAAGTGATGGCAGTCTGAAAACTTGCATTCTAAGTCTTAGACGCTGATCTACGGTTGAACATTTTAATAGATATATAGGTGAATTTGCATATAGAGATTACCCTACTTGATCAGATCAGTGGCCCAACAAGTCCGGTGACCTGCCTTTCTTGATATCGGAAACTTCAAAGAAATGTACAAGTCGATCTTGCCTTCTTTGTCTTGCACAAATATATGTTCTCCAATCCCCTCTCAGTTAGCAGTTGGGAGTACAGAGAAAAAGTTGTACCCTACTATAACTGCAGATAGCCACATAATCCATATTAATACCAAATATGAAGAAAAGCAGGTGTCAAACAGACCAACAACACAAACTGCAAATAAGATTCCTCCCACTCCAACCCTCAACATACACTTGTTGGGAGGGCTGAGCAAAGCTCTGCCCCACCTCCTCTATGCGGCTCAGGCTGTCTCCAGACTATCAGTGGGGTTCAGTGATGGAAGCTGTTTGAGGATCCCCTTCAAATAAATACAGTTCAAGCAGGTGTTTAGTTTGCCCCCAACTATTTAATTTCACCCCCAGCTCTTTGTTTCCCCCAAACTTTTCCACACGGAAGGAAAAAACCCCTCACCTGCCCCTCAGAGCCCCTTCCCGCCCACAGGTCAAGAGCAGCACCGGGGCGCTTTGCTTTGAGACCATGAGGGAGCAGGGGAGGTGGGGATCCTGCAGAGAGATTCACTCTTTCAGCTACTGAGCCTCTTCCCGCACAACGTGAACGGGTTAGTGCTGTGAGAGTGGCGGGGGGGGGGGGGGGGGGGGGGGGT